TATTGCTGCCTTATGCTAAACTGCTTTAAATTACTTTTTTTCCACATCAATCTATACTCCATACACCATAATGGTAGAGCAAAAAACAGGTTTTTAACATCTTCGCAAATTTATTAAAAATAAAAAACTTAAATTATTCCATTGCGTAAGTATTCATAGCCTTATCTGGGACAGTTAAAATTTAGCCCAGGAGCATTCATATTGCTTGTAGATGTCACTACACTTCGAGTGAAGTGACTGGGCAGAAGGTTTACCTTCCAACAGGACAATGGACCTAAGCACACAGCAAGAGTGGCTTCTAGACAACTCTGTGAATGTCCTCGAGTGGCCCTGCCAGAGCCTGAGCTTGAACTCAATCAAATATTTCTGAAGAAACCTGAAAATGTGCATTTGTTCCCATCCAACCTGACAGAGCTTGAGAAGTGAAGAGGTGAGGAGAAGAATGGCAGATAATTGCCAAATGCTGATAAACAAAGCTTGTCGCATCAAACAAAAAAGACTTGAGGCTGTAAAGGTGCTTCAGCTAAATATTTAATTAAGGGTATGAATGCTTATGCAATGTACTTATTTCAGTTTTTTTATTTTTAATAAATTTACGAAGTTGTGACAATTCTGTTTTTGCTTTGTCAATATGGTGTATGGAGTGTAGATTGATGTGGGGAAAAAAAGTACATTTAAGCAGTTTAACATAAAGCAGCAACATAAAACGTGAAGAAAATGAAGGAGTATGAATACTTTCGCAATGCACTGTGTATATATATATGACATTTCTGTCACTTCTGAAATGATGGCTACACCCCTGGTGTGACAAAATGTTAGCCTATACATAATACTTTTTAAAACACTTTTTTTAAAGTCTTGGCTTACATAAATTTCTACATATGCCATGTCATGCCATAGCATCATTAAACTAGCATCTAACAATGGACAAAAGTGTTTTTTTTTTCTCTCTAACCCATGGTTCTCTAACCATAAAGGCTGCGGTGTAATTTGCCCCCCTGACTAAGCATTTAAAGAATTTAGGGGAATCATTCAAATAATCTTGTGAATGCACTTAAAGAATGTAGAATCAAATTGTTATAATCGAATCGAATCGAATTGTGAATCGAATCGAATTGAATCGTTCTTAATTTGCAA